ATCTTGGAACTCCCTTCCTAATAACACAGTGGATGTACCACAGACCACATTGGAAACAGTGCTTTAAGAAGGCAGTTCACCATCACCTTCTCAGGGGTAGTGAAGGGTGGACAGTAAATATTAGCCTGCCTGGTGATGCCCACATCCTGGAAACAAATTTTTAAGCGCATAACTTGCCACTTTTCAGCCTAAACCTGAATGTTGCTACATTCAGACGTGGATTTCTGCATTATCTGAGGAATTGTGAATTGAATTGAACGCTGTGCAATGACTGTATGGTGGAACAGTCATTGATGAGGAGTATTTTGAGCCTGGAAGACCTCCTGCAGTGATGTTTTGTGTTAGCACCATTGGCTTTCAACAACTGCCGCCGTCTTTGAGCTGGGTATGATGAGAACCAGTTGGGACATTTCTCCTTTGTTCCCTACTGACTTCAATTTTATAAGGTACACCCACAGGCAAATGCTCCCTTGACACGAAGGGCAGTAACTCATTTCTGAAATGTAGATTTTTATTCTCCATCTTTGGATTAAGGTAGTAAGGAAGCCTGAAGTCACGAGTTCTGGAAGAAACCAAACTGTGTGCCAATGAATAGGTTGATCATGAGATGTAGGAGCGGAAAAAGGTCATTCAGTCCATCACGTCTGCTCCACCATTCAATGAGATGCTGATCTGATAATCCTGAACTCCATTTTCTTACTTTTCCTCATAAGACCTGATTTCCTTACTGATTAAAAATGTGTCCACCTATCGACCCAGCCTTGACAGCCGTCTGTGGTAAAGAATCCCACAGGTTTGTTGTCTTCGGAGAGAAGAAATTTTTCCTTATCACAATCTTAAATGAACAACCCTTCACTTTGAGATTATGTCCTCTGGTCTTTGACTCTCCCACATAATTTTTCAGCATCTACCTTGTCAAACCTCCTAAGAATCTCAAATGTTTTGCTGAGATTAACTCTTTGGAGTTTATAAGAATAAGAGGCAAAGTCCAACTTAGTCAACCTCTACTCATAAGAAAAATCAGGGTCAACCTAGTGAACCTTCTCTGGACTGCCTGCAAGGCCAATATATTTGCCCTAGATAAGGGGACAAAAATTGTTCATATTCTAGATATGTTCTAGGGTGGTCTAACTGCCTTGTATAGTTTTAACCAGACTTTCCTATTTTCATTTTTCACTCCCTTCTTGCAATAAAGGCTAACATTCAATTTTCCCTCCCTATTATTATCTTACCTTTTAAATAGAGATAAATGTAAAAATACTTCAGTGCAGAGGGATTGCTGCATAGTGTGCAAGTACAGCAGGTAGTAATGAAATTTTGATATTTATTGCAAAAGTCATAGAGTATGAAAATAGGGAAGTGTTGCTGCAGCTGTAAAAGACATTGGTCATATCTGGGGTACTTCATATTTTGGTCCCTTCCTTGAGGAAAGATGTAATTGTATTGGAGGCAGTTCAAAGAAGGTTCATGAGACTAATTCCAGGGATGAAAAGCTTACCTTATGAGGAGAGTTTGAATGGTTTAGGCGTATTCTCCAATCGGTTTAGCAGAATGAAAGGATGTAGAGCAGATGTTTCCCCTTGAGGGGCAACGTAAAACAAGAGGCCATAGTTTTAGGCTAAGGGGTGGCAGATTTAGAACGGCGGTGAGGAAGAATTACTTCTCAAAGGCTTGTGAATCTGTGGAATTAATTACTGTAGAGTGTGGTGAACATCAGTGTACTGAATAAATGTAAGGAGGAGAGAGATGGATTTTTTAATCAATAATAGTTTGAAGGGTTATGGGGAGTAGCCAGGAAAATGGATTTGAGCCCAAGATGAGATTAGCCATGATCATATTAACTGACAAAGTAGGCTCAAGAGGCTGAATTGCCTACTCCTGGTCCTTGTTCTTATATTCTATTATACCTCTGCAGTTTTCTGTGCTCTTTCTCCACTTAAATAATGTTCATCTCCTCTATTCTTTCTACTAAAGCACATAACCTTACATTTTCCTATATTGTAGTCCATCTGCCAAGTCTTTGTCCACTCACTTAACTGTATTCCTCTATAGACTCTTACCAGTTGCCCTCACACTAATTTTGTATAATCTGTGAACTTGGTGTTAGTACAGTCATTTTTATTATCCAAGTCTTAATATGTATCGTAAATAATTGTGGCCCCAGCACTGATGTCTGTGGCACTTCGTTAGTTACACGTTACCATCCTAAAAAGGTTGTTCTTTATCTCAACACTCTGTGTTTTCTGTTTGTATATTAATATACCACGCTTGACACTGTGGGTGTGGTGGGAGGCCGTAATGTTACTGGACTAGCAATCCAGAATTCCAGGCAAATGTTCTGAGGATGTGGGTTCAAATTCCACCATGGTGGATAATAACATTTGAATTCAATAGCAATTTGGAACAAAAGGATTGTTATTAGCAACCACATAACTGCTGCTATTAGAAAAAGGTGTCTGGATCACTAACATCCTTCAGGGAAGGAAATCTGCCATCCTTACCTGGTCTGGCCTGTAATTGACACCAGACCCATAGCAATGTGGTTTACTGTTAACAGCCCTCCGAGTAATTCGGATTTGAATGGCAGAGCTGGGCTGAATGGCATATTTATGCTCCAATGTATTATGGTTTTATGGAATGACCTATATGGACAATTTTTGACATTATCTGGTCAGTTACATTGTTGTAGCTATACTGCAACAGTTGGCAAAGGTTTCAGGTAGTTCTGTAGTGCACATCATCAGTCTTCTAACTGGGTTGTTGTAAGGCCCATAGCTTTTTCTCTCTCCAGTGTGCTGAGCTATTTTCTGACGCTATGGAGTGAATCGAGTTGATTGAAGACTGGAATCTGTGCTGTAGGCGTCCTCAGGGGGAGGTGGATTGCCCACTCAACACTTAATCTGTAGATACTTCTAAATGCTTCAGCTTTGTATTTTGCGAGTGCTTCTCAAACATTTTCACACTTTGACCTCATTTGGAGGGTGAACATTGTTCTGAGCCCTCCTGGGAGAACTGAGAGAGGGCCTCATAGAGTGAGAAAATAGCTGCTTTAACTTGACCGGAGGTGTACCATGGCCACAACTACCTCAGATTTGATGTCCCCAGAATCATAGCTCATTGTTCCACTTGGGTTCCTGACCCCATTTTGGGCAGTCCTGTCTTTTGCACTCCTGTGCTAAGCTCTGCTGTCATAGAATTGCAGATCTTTAAAAAATGTCCTTTACTGTGCTTTCTGATGAATGTGTCTGGTTGTGTCGATGTTTTTGGAGATATGAAAAACGTTCAATTTAAGAGGCATGCCTGGTGGCAATTCAGAGGTTCCTATCTGTGCCATGATGCCCTTCCACCACCACTTAAAAAGGCAACCTTGTGATTGGTAATGTTGATGAAGTTGGCCCAGCGGTGAGAGAGGGCGACTCTGATGTTGGTTGGTCTGGCGCAGGAGGTGACGAGGCGGTCGCAGAGGATTACCAGAACAGTTGCAAAGATGCCACCTGAGGATTGGTGACTTCGATGATTGTTGGGTGAGGTGTAGATGGCGGCAAAGCGGTGGCAGAGGGTAGATGGTGCAGGCGTCAGTGACAGTGATGAGCTGGCCTCAGGACTGATGAACTCTCTTCAAGCTATATTTTTTTTGTATTCTTAAATTATTCAAAATGGCGCCATTTTATAGTGAAAAATGAAAGCTTTTCACATTTTTTATTTTTACTGTAAAATATACGTGACAATATAATCAAAATCAAATTATTACGGTGTGCCACTGCACAACAAAATTAAAAGGTCATGTGTACTTAAATATATAGGCTGCGCACAAAAATAATCGAGTGGGCAATGATTGTGAGTGCATTACTTTATTTTAGATTTATATTCTAACAATATTCTAAATGTTGTGACTGCAATGTTAAAATAATGTGTAGGTTTGGAGAGATGATGAGATTTATTTTTTAAAAAACATAGCATTCCCATATGCAAATTTTACTGCATGTGTGATTTTTGGAACATTGGTGTGTTTGAGTCTGTAATTTTGAGAACCTATTTCAGTTTCTTTACAGTGGTGATCTTTTTGCTACCGTACAGAACCAGAGAAAGGACCCTCTGGCGAATATGAAAAGTGAATAGCCAATTTGGGTAAAATAATTTGCCAACTAAGCTGGTAGCATTCAGTTAAGTCTACCAGAAAGGAAAGCACTCACAGTCGTCATTCTTTCCTGCCATTTTGTATCATATACTTTTTAATAATTGCAGTGTGCAGAAGCAATATCACAATAAATATAAATTTCAAATCCAGGACCAGTTCAATCCTAAGTTACTTCAAAATAATTGCTTCTCTGAATCATATCCCTTTCAGGTGAAAGTTTCAGTTAGTGAAACTATGAATAATAAGTGAAACTATGGAACTTAATTCAAACAACTCGAGCAGGCATGGTAGTGTGAGGATTGAGAGAATTTGGAGAGAGTCAGATTCTTGGTGTTGGAAAAATTCTCTTAACTTAAACAGGGAGTGGGAACAGCCCAATATACAAATCTGTGGGTGGTTGGATACCAATTAGACTTCTTAATGAGCCCCAGTTATCCCTGGGCCCACAAGGATTCAGTGGATTTAATAGAATTTGCAACACCTCAGCTGTCTTCTGAAGGCTGGCCAGCAAACTCTAATAGGTTTGCTGGTGACCTCATGGGGAGGGGGTGAACCCCTCATTAATAGACACTGTATCCAGTTAAGCAACCCAGTAACAGGGAGGGGTCAAGGCTGCTGAATGTTGCTCAATTGCCTTTGCCTCATCCCTTTGCACCTCCCCTTACTCTGGTAACTCTTTCCCATAATTCTCATTCTGCGCTACTCACTACATTGAATATTTTCAAAATGTGCATGATAAAGCTAAATCAGAGAAGTAGAATTGTACATAAAGATAAAAATCATGATTCCTAATACCACTTATATCACACTCGTCCTAGAGTTATTACCTTACTTTTGTTGTACTGATAATTTCTTTTTCCAGTATCAGCGATGGAGTCAATGGGACAAGCTGCATCAGGAGCACATCAATGCAAGCCGTACTGTGCAGGTAAATAATGTTTGTGTGCCTTCTTTTTAGTTTGTTACAGAGATTTTATGTTGAAGATGATTTGAGTGCCATTGTCAGGAATTCTTCTGCCTATGTATGTTTGTTTATTTGTACTGTTAATCTGAAAAGGGAATCTTTCAAATATGTTTTGTAAAAGTAGTAAAATAAAATAGATTGCTTCACAGCTACAGCATTTTTAGAATTTATGTGTACGTTGTAACTTCCTGGAGTAGTTATTTTATTTAGAAACTAGCATCGTTTTTATTCTGCTTTTCAGGAATCCCATTCTAGAGTCTCTCAGCAGAACTCAGCTCTTTCCACAATGATGCTGATAAACTGTTATTGTATGATTGAAGTTAAGCTTGTGATAAAGAGTTGATTCTAAATTTTGTGGCTTAATATATCTTGTTTGAATGGACTCAAGCCAATAATTGTTCGCCTTTTCCATTCATGATTAAAGCTTTAATGCAGATGTTGATTGGCTAACATGTAAGCACAGTGACACAGCTAATTTAAAGTATTCAAGCTTAAGGACATATAAACATAAAAAACAGGAATGGGCCAAATGACCACATGGGTGTGCTCTGCTGGTCAATATCATGTTGAATATATATATCAACTTTATGTCCCTGCCCTGTTCCCATCTCCCTTGATTTTGAGGTTATGCACTTAGGCAGGAAGAATAGAGGAGCTGAATATTACTTAAAAGGAGAGGACTGCAGAAAACTACAGAACAGAGGGATTTGGGAGTCCTTCTGCATGAATCACAAGAGGTTAGCATCCAAGTTTGATGAGTAGTAGGAAAGATAAATGGACCGTTGGCCTTTATTTTGAAGGGACTGGAATATAAAAGTAAGGAAGTTTTGCTAAAACTATATGCAAAGCACCAGTCAGGCTGGAATACTGTGAGCAGTTTTGGGCCCCTTATCTAAGGAAAGATATTCTGGCATTAGGCTTCCCAGAGAAGGTTTACTCAGCTAATACGTATTATGGAGGGATTATTTTATGAAGATAGGTTGGGTATAATGGGCTTGTACCGATTGGTATTTAGAAGAATGAGAGGTGACCTTATTGAAACATACAAGATTCTTAGAGGACTTGACAGATTAAAGGCAAAAAGATTGTTGCTCCTGGTGGGAGAATGGTGGCCAGAGGGCATACCTTATGATATTTAGGACAGAGATGAGGAGGAGTTTCTTCCCTCACAGGGTTGTGAATCTGTGGAATTCTTTATTATTAATGGTTTATTGAGTATATTTAAGGCTGAGATGGGACAATTTCTTAATCGCTGGAGTTTAGAAGAATGAGAGATGATCTTCGAGAAGCCTATAAAATTCTACCAGAACTAGACAGAGTTAATGCAGGAAAGATGTTCCTGATAACTGGGAGCCAGATCCACGGTTCACAGTTTAAGGATATGGGACAAGCCATTTAGGATTAAGAACATAGAACATAGAACAGTACAACACACTACAGGCCCTTCGGCCCACGAAGTTGTGCCGACCTATTATCCTACTAAGGTCAAACTACTCTACATACCCTACATTTTACTATCCTCCATGTTCCTATCCAAGAGTCGCTTAAAAGTCTGTAAAGTATCTGACTCCACTACTACTGCTGGCAGCGCACTCCACATGCCTACCACTCACTGTGTAAAGAACCTACCTCTGACATCTCCCCTATATCTTCTTCCAGTCACCTTTAAAATTGAAAATTATAAGGTGAGATATTTCTTCACCCAGAGTGTGCTGAGCCTATGGAATTATCTGCCACAGAAAGCAGTTGAGGCCAAAGCATTGAATGTTTTCAAGAAGGAGTTGGTCGTATTTCTTGGGCTAAAGGGATCAAATGGTATGGAGAGAAAGTGGGAAAAGGGTACTGATTGAATCATCAACCATGATTATGTTAACAGGCAGAGCAGGCTGAAAGAGTTGACTGGCCTTCTACACCCATTTTCTATGTTTCTTTGGAATGAAGGGTTATAGAGAAAAGTCAGGAAAGTGGAGGGTGATGAGATCAGCTATGATGTCATTGAATGATGGAGTAGACTTGATGGGCTGAATGGCCTACTTCTGCTGCTGCATCTTATGGTCTTAATTCCTTTAATGTACAAAAATCTGTCAAGCTCAGTCTTGAAAATTCACATTGAGCATCAACAGCTTTCAGAATAACAGAATTCCGCATGTTTAAAAACATTTTGCTTTTCCAGTTTTCCTCCCAAAGTGGATAATTTCACGTGCTGTACGTTTGGTTAAAGACATACTAGCCCAACTTTTCCTATTGAAAATGCAATAATTTCTTCCTCATTTTGTCTTCAACTCTTCAAATATAGGAGTGATTTCAGAGATATTACGCCCAGTTTTCCAATACCTCAAGCCAAGTATGTAACTTAAGTATCAGTGCTTTTTTGGCTTGCTGCATTATGTAAATACCACATCAAACTTTACATCGTTTTGAGCAGAATGATGAATGTTCTAGTCCTTTCTTGCAATGTTTTATTAAGGCATGGGATTTCTGAGAAGACCAGTGGTGACAGTAATGTAATAATAATGTCACTGGACTATTAAACCAGTGGCCTAGACTAATGCTCTCGGGACAAAAGTTCAAATTCCACCACAGCAACTAGTGGAATTTAAATTCAGTTAATATGTCTGAAATTGAAAAGTATTATTAGTAATGCTGATCATGGAACTATCACCAATTGTTATAAAACTCCATTTGGTTCACTAATGTCTCTTGGAGAGGAAACCTGCCATCCACACCCAGTTTGGCCTACATGTGTCCTGAGACCCATAGTGATTGCCTTGGACAGTAGTTAAATGTCAATCAGGAATGGGCCACAATTCTTGTCGGTGATAACAGAAACAAATTTGCTGGAAAAGCTTAGCAGGTCTGGCAGCATATGTGAAAGAAAAAACAGTTAATGTTTTGGGTCCAGTGACCCTTTGTTAGAAGTCAAGGCATCTTGTCAGTGATGCCTACATGCCATAAACAATAAAAAAAACCTCAGATTGTTCTTTTAGAGGGTGATGGTCAAGGTTTTGTAATTCAGATTAGCATTTGCCTATTTATTTTAAATATTTGCTTTGTTCAGCTAACTTTATCGGCAGTGCATTTCCCTGGTCTTTGGATCGGTAATAGAAAACAAGGAAGGCCTTTCATTTGTTTAAGCATTGTTCACTACCTGAGGACATCTCAAACCACTTTAATGAAATACTTTTAAAGCATAATCACTCTTATAATGCAGGGAAACATGGAAGCTACTTTGCACAAACTAAGATCGCAAAAGCAACATTTAACTAAATGATCAGGTGGTCTGTTTTTGATAAGTGGATGAATGTTGGCCAGGAACTGTCAGAGTGCCGTAAAATCCTTTATGTCCAGTTGAGCGAGCTCATGGTGCCTTGCTTTATTATCTAATGTGCCATACAGGCAGTCTGGCTAGTTTCAGGTCATTCAGGCTCCAGATGTACTTCTGCAACATTTTAGGATTATGAGGTTAAACATTTGCTATCCAGATACCAAAGTGAAGATAGTCTGGAGTATGCACAAGATGGGTTATGTGGAACAGTATTTTGAGGAGTCAAGGAGGGCTCGGGCTATTTTGGATTTGATGTTGTGTGATGAGAAAAGGCTTTCTGTGAAGGAGCTTTTCAGAAATAGTGATCAAAACAAAATAGAATTTTACATGAAATTTGAATGTGACATAATTCATTCTGAAACTAAAGTCTTAAATCTGAGCAAAGGAAACTGAGGGAATGGGAGAAGGATAAATTGGTTAGGGTGAATTCGAAAATGCACTAAAAGATTTGTCATTTACAGATCTTAGAAGGAAGTAACAATTGATATAATGGATGCATTGGTGGGTTATCATTCAAAATTCTTTTGTTTTCTGGAACTTTTCCTGCTAACTGGAAGATGGCAAATTGTACTCCACTATTTAAGAAGGAAGGAAGAGAGAAAGTGGAGAACTAGAGACCTGTCAGCTTGATGTCTATAGTAGAGAAAATGTCAACATCTATTATATAGGATATGATATCTGAACGTTTAGAAAAGAATGGCAAAATTGGACAGTGCTAACATGGATTTATAGATGAGAAATCATGCTTGACACAATCATTGGACATTTTGAGGATGTTATTTGTAGCACAGACAAAGAGGAACCAGTGTGGGCAAATGGCATTAAGAAGACTATCAGCCATGATCTGTAATGGCAAGGCAAGCTTGATGGGCTGAACAGCCTATTCCTGCTCCTGTGTTCCTATAGTCATGGGTTTCCTGAATTGACATTTGATCCATAAATTTCATCTGTTCTTGCTGTGGCTATGTTGCCTTGTGATAATTGTCACACTAAGTTGGCTGTATTTGTTGGCTGATTCAGTAATTTTGAGATGAAACCTATTAAGGAGAAATAAACCAGATGATAATTTTGTTCAACTATGGATTGGGCCCATTATCTCAGTCGGTGGGGAGCTTGAGTAATCATCTTTGTAGATTTTACCTTTGTGGAATAATAAGCTTTTGGGATAAGGACGAAGGAAGAAAAATGTGTTTGGAGCTCAGAGTTACATACTTCCCTGTGACAACTTTCACAATTATTTTTGTGGAATTTGAGGCTACATTTTATTTATAAATATTTTATAATATTTTATAAATATTACAGACAATAGGAACTTTCATAATGGGTTGCAATAATTGAAGTTATTCCAACATTCAGGCTTGAACTGATGAGGCCAAGTGACATTTGTGCCATACAATTGCTAAGCAGTAGCCATCTCTAACCGGAGAGAATATAACCATTTCCTCATCACTTAACTTGATATTACCATTGCTAAGTTTGCCACTATCAAATCCTCGGGGTGACCATTGGCAAAACTGAGCTAGACCAGCCTGTGAATACTGTGGATACAAGGGCAGGTCAGAGACTGAGATTTCTACAACAAGTAATTCACCTCCTGACCCTGTATAGTCTGCCCACAATTTACAAGACACAGCTGAAGAATGTGGAGGATTACTCTCTGAAGCAGTATTCATCCTGGACTGCAACAAGACTCAAGAAGCTCTATACCGTTCAGGACAGAGCAGCCTACTTGATTGACACGCTAGACATCAGAGCCCTGCCAAAGTTTCATTTTAATATTGACATTTTATTTCTACATTTGTATCTGAGTAATCTTGATTGAAGTCAGTCATAGTACAGTGCTGCTTCTCAGCTTTAATTGTTGATAAGTTTGAATTCTTGGATTTTCAGTTTCAACCCAATGTTGTTAAACTGTCAAAAGTTAATCTTTCAAAAAAGTTAGTTTTATTTTGAAAAGACGCTAGTGTATGTGGTTGTACCTAATGTGACCACAAAAAATTGAAAACCTTTGATAGATATTTGCTGGACTATAAGTCTCAATGACTCTGACTTTTGCTTTTTTGATTAGGTGAACACGGTTCAAACTTTTTTTCAGTTTGATCATGTTAAGCATATTGAGCATTTTAAAATGTTGTGGGAGCAGTAGAAACATAATTTTCTGGGCGGAAATTAGGCTTGTGTACATGTTAGTAATATCTTTCTGTAGTTCATGACATTTTTGACTACTTCTTGAAGACTTTCACAATATTCACAAGCAATGACTGATGAGAGAGGATAGAGAGATTTGTGTCAGTATTGCTGACATTTTCTGGTTGATTAACTGTTACAACTTTGTTTTGACAAATACTGTGGAATCGAAACCACTGAGGTACAGGTTATAACAAGTTACAACCTATAACAGTCTGTGGTCTGTAGTGACAGTTATGCATCTTTCATTTGTAACATATACATGTCATTAGGATTTGTATTTTTATGTAATTGAACATGCCTATTGTCTATAATATTTATAAAAATAATATTTACAAAGATCACACAGTATGGAAAGCTTTAAGGGGATGTTACAAGGAATAACCTGACAACATGCATGATTGTGACAATCATTTTGCACAGCCTCCCATCATAAAACCATAAGAAATAGGAACAGGAGAAGGCTGTTTGACCCTAGAGTCTGCTCTGCCATGCAGTAGGATCTTGGCTGCCCAACATTCCTCACGTCCACTTTCCTGCTCTTTCGCTTGGTTCCACTGCTAAGAATTTATTTATCAGCCTTAAATATATACAAGGACTATGCCCCCATAGCTCTCTGTGGCAAGGAGTTCCAAAGATTCTCAATCGTCTGAGAGAAGAAATCCCTTCTCACCTCAGTCTTCAATTGGTGCTCCTTATTCTGAGACAATGCACTTTGGTCCTCTCAGCAGTCACGCTGTCAAGCCCCTTAGGAATCCTCTATGTTTCAATGAGATCATATTTTATTCTTTTGAATTCCAGTGAGTAGAATCCCAACCTCTTTAGCATAAGATAATCCCTCCACACCGGGGATCATCCTAGCTAACCTTCAGTGAAATAATGTCATAAATAAGGAGACCAAAACTGCTCTCAGTAGTCACAATGTGGTCTCACCAGCACCTTGTAAAGTTGCAGAAAGACTTCCCTATTTTTGTACTCCAGCCTGTTGAAATAAGGCCCAACATTCCATTAGCATTCCTGATTACCTGCTGCATCTATGTGCTAACTTCCTGTATTTTTTGCACAAGTACCCACAAATCCCTGGGTGTTGCAGCTTTCTGCAGTTTTTCTCCATTTAAATAATATTTTTTTTTGTTCTCTCTCTTCCAAAATGGAAAACCTCACATTTTCCCATGATTATCAGCAGAACAGCAATTTTTTAAAGTTCCAAATAATCTTAAAAAATTACTGAGCTTCATTTTCTCCACCATCATAAACTGGTGTGTTATCAGATAGGTCAAAGATGACAAATTATAACTGAGCACTTTATACTAATACTCCATTCTTTCCACTTAAAATAGTTTGAGCAGAAATTCATGATGAGTATGGCAAAAGGTGGGCATTTTTGCATTGGTTGCCAATTATGTATAATTATTCATATTTAAATCCACTGACTGCAATGGAACTGCATGATTCATTGCAATTTTTAATGATTTCCATCTTGGCAACCAACTGGAATTCTCAGAGTGCATCTCAGCTAATTGTGATACCTGAAGTTTATCAAAGATGTTAAGATTGTGTTGGGGGTACGTTGGTGGTTGTATGTAGGCAGTGGCAGTGGCAGTGGAATGGGAAGAGAGACTTTTGTAATATGTAGATTTGCTTAATACTAAGTGCCTTCTTATAAAAGTGAAGAGTGTCATCTTTCTAAATGTTGCCTCAGCAGTTTTAGTGAAATTGCTAAAGAGAATAAAGAAGAATATAACACACATTGTAAGGAGATTAGGAGGGCTGAAGATAAGTAGACAAAAAGACTATCAGTTACTGTGAAGAAATTGGAGCCTTTTAAATATGTAAAGTATTTGAAAAGAGGGCGACATCGTCCATTTGAAAATCTCATTCTAAAGGAAAATAAATACTGAAGATGCTTAAAATCTACTTTGCATTTTTATAGGATGATGGGAAGGAGAAAGTTGGTGTTCTTAGGAGGATTTAGAACAATTGTTAAGATAGCTGTGGGAAAGAAATTGGTTTTAAACAAATAGGGGCTTGAGGTGGATGATTCACCTGACCTTGGTGTGCTGCTGAAGAACGTCAGAGAGGAAACAGCAAAGACTTTGACCACATATTTCAGTTCAACTTAAATATGCAAATTGGAGAACTGCATGGTAGCTATTCTAATACCTTGGCTCATAAGGGGCACAGGGAAACCGGGTATAGACCCTATAGTGCAGACCTGGGCAATGACACCTTAAGCAAACCCACAAAAATTATCATCTGGATGTCTTTCAATCTTGTGCTGATTTTTTGCTAGACCGTTCTTAGACATCCTTTCAGCATGCATGTCTTCTTTCTGATAAGGTACACACTTAAGCAATTCCAACTTGTATCCACGCTGACTGGTGTCACTATTTAATGCACGTGCTGGGAGCACATTGATTGATACCACAAATGATCCCTACGGTAGTTTGGGAGGACAAGAAGGCAGAATAGCTGATAAAATAATTCACTTTATATAAATAATGCTTTTCACATTGTCAGGATACTCCAAAGTGCTTCACAGCTAATAAAGTTCTTTTGAAGCATAATCATTGTAATGTAGAGAAACATGGGTTCACTTGGTTCTACAAACAGTAATAAGAAAAGTTGCCACACAGTCTTTTTAATGTATTGTTTGAGGGAAAGATGTTATCCAAGGCATTAGCAGAATTTATTTGTTCTCCTTTGAAATATTACAATCAGATCTTCACCTGAGGTTGCAGAATGAACCTTAATTTACTGTCACGCTGAAAAGTTAGCACTTCTGAGAGTGCAGCATTTCTTCAGAATTACACTGAAGTATCAACCTAGATTTTTTTTTAAACTGAAGTCCTGGATTGGACCTTGAACTGACAACCTTCTGACTTGGAGGTGAGAATGGTACCATTATTTCCTGCATCACAAAAATGACTACACTTTAAAAGTACTCCATTGTCTATGAGTGGTTCAGGGTTTTCTGAATATGTTAATGGTATTATATCCTGTAAATGCAAGTTTCTTTTTCATTTTTTTCACTGCATAGATCTGAAACACGCTGAATGTTGGCCCACTTCTAGAGCTAGACCCCGTCCGCCATGGTCTTTAAAAAATCGAAAGAACTGCAGATGCTGTAAATCAGAAACAAAAACAAAAGTTGCTGGAAAAGCTCAGCAGGTCTGGTGGCATCTTTGAAGAAAAATCAGAGTTAACGTTTTGGTTTCCAGTGAGGAACGGTCACTGGACCTTCTGTTTTTATGGTCCCATGGTCTTTGCCAGGTAGATGTGGGAGAGTTAGTTATAGTTTTTGATATAACAGTGCAGGCAGTTTCTCTGTGGCCCTTGTCTTGCATCCTTTTATAAATTAAAAGATAAAATGCTGGAAATATTCAGCTGGTTAGGTAGCAGCTGTGAAGTAGAAGCAGAATTAACATTTTTAGGTCTAAGGGGTGGCATGGTGGCTCAGTGGTTAGCACCGCTGCCTCAGCGCCAGAGGCCCGGGTTCGATTCTAGCCTCGGGCAACTGTCTGTGTGGAGTTCGCACATTCTCCCCATCTGTGTGGGTTTCCTCCGGTTTCCTCCCACAGTCCAAAGATGTGCAGGCTAGGTGGATTGGCCATGCTAAATTGCCCGTAGAGTTCAGGGATGTGTCTGGGTTGGGTGCTCTGAGGGTGGGTGTGGACTTGTTGGGCCGAAGGGCCTGCCTTCACACTGTGGGGATTATAAGGACCTATCATTTTGCACCAATTCAACCTTTAAATACTGTATAGTACTTCAGAATTAACCAATATTAACCAATTACCAACTTTGATTTTATTTATCAACAGCCGTCGACCTTCAATGTAGTGTGCTCCAATGAAGTCTGTATTATAGGAACTGTCTTTTAAAGCTCTTCCTATTCTGCTGAAGTCTTAGAATTGTTCCAGTTATAGTCAACTTCCTGATAAATTAATGGTCAATATTTGAATAGTCGAGCTTCCACATAAACAGTATGCAATTTTTAAGTAAAAGAAAAAGAATCTATGTTAAAATAAAAACAACAATCGGGAGCCAACAAAGATTAATCACCGAAGAGCCAGCATTGCTTTTACGTAATAGGTTTTTAAACTGAGACAACCTCCCCTCATCAAAAACTAGAATATCCAAGCTGCCTTACAAGGTCATCAAATTTCTGCATGAGTGAAAGTTTTCTTTATGTTGACATTAACATATCTTACCATTGCTATTTGCTAATAACATTGTATTTCAGAACTTAGAACAAGTGTCCTCAGGGCTGTTACAATATTTGCAATGACTTCCAGGACTAGAATTATTTGCAGGGATTTCTAGGAAAAATGTGTGTTGATATTTGCAGTACTGGCCCTCACACAGAAAAGGTATAAAACACTGATTTACCTTTTTTTATATGTAGTCTGAACCAGTAACCATGTAGTGGGTGTAGAATGTAGTAGATGTTTTGAGCTGGTTTATTCTTCTGTAGTAAAAACCAAAAGAACTGCGGATGCTGTAAATCAAGAACAAAAACAAAGTTGCTGGAAAAGCTCAGCAGGTCTGGCAGCATCTGTGGAGGAGCAGTTCTGAGGAAGGGTCACTGGACCCGAAACGTTAACTCTGTTTTCTCCTTCACAGATGCTGCCAGACCTGCTGAGCTTTTCCAGCATCTTTGTTTTTATTCTTCTGTAGTGTTTGTACAATAACAGTAATGTTATAATAACTACTATGTGTTTATACAGTACACTGGCAGTGATACCAGAGTAAAATGATACTTTTATTGCGAAAATCATGTGCTGTGTTTGTACTTTACTTTCTGCTTTATTATTTCCTTACTTTTGATCCAGATTTTTTTAAGCATACAGTATGTACAGTGATGACACTTCTAGTGCATCGCTTGCAGTTCTACTCTGAGGTTTGAATTTTGCTCATTAGTTAAATTGCCATCACTTCCAGCAATGTTAAACCAATTGATTAAGTTGGCAGTCAGACATAGATGTTTGTTTTCTCTGGCTTAATCTCTGATCTTTCTTTTTAAGACGCAACTTTACATGTATCTTCAGTCACCTGTCCTAATAGCTCTCTGTCACTTTTTGCTTCTGTTCCTGTTCTTGTCCTTTCACTTTACACCTTGTCCAGCTTAGGGTGCTGGGATCCAACAAAGCTTGGTGATGTAACTTGTAACTTTTAATTTCCTGTTTCAGTTGGTGTAGTATTCATTACTTTAAAAATGGATTTTAATTGGATTTTAGAAGGTTGGAACCGGTGTCTTATTGCCTAATTAGGTATCCAACTCATTTAATGCAGAATTTAAAACACAGTGAACTATATCACCTGCTTCTTAGGGGTGTCAAGATGGAAGTATCTGCAATTTGCCCTGAAGTACCACAAAATGTGTGTTCTCACTCAAGTGACTACAGCGGTAATGTTTAAAATAGTGGCAATGGTAGTACTTTTACCCCTCAACTAAAAGATTGTGGATTTTATTGGGGGAGGTGGACACGTCTCCTGGGCCTGATGGAGGACATCCAGGGTACTAAAAGAGATGGTGAGGGAAATAGCAAATGTGCTCATGGTAATTTACCAAAATTCTCTGGACTCTGGGGTGGTTCCGGCAGATTGGAAAACAGCAAATGTGACACCACTGTTTAAAAAAGGAGAGCGACGAAAGGTGAGTAGCTATAGGCCTATTAGCTTAACTTTTGTTGTGGGGACAATGCTTGAATTTATTATTAAGAAGGAATTAGTGAGACATCCAGATAGAAATTGTCCCGTCGGGCAGACGCAGCATGGGTTCGTGAAAGGCAGGTCATGTTTAACTAATTTACTGGACTTCTTTGAGGACGTTATGAGCGCGGTGGACAACGGGGAACCGATGGATTTGGTGTTCTTGGATTTCCAGAAGGCATTTGAAAAGGTGCCACACAAAAGGCTGCTGCATAAGATCAAGGTGCGTGGCATAACGGGTAATGTATTAACATGGACTATATTCATCGGAATTTAGAAGAATGAGGGGGTTCTTATAGAAACATAAATTATAAAGGGAATATATAAGATAGAAGCTGGGACATTGTTTCCACTGGTGGGTGAAACTAGAAGTAGGGGCATAGCCTCAAAATAAGGGGAAGCAGATTTAGGACTGAGTTGAAGAGGAGCTTCTTCACCCAAATGGTTGTGAATCTGTGGAATTCCTTGGCCAGTGAAGCAGTTGAGGCTACCTTGTTGAATGTTTTTAAGGCAAAGATAGATTTTTGAGTAAAGGAATTAAGGGTTATGGTGAGCAGGTGGCTAAGTAGAGCTGAGTCCACGGAAAGATCAGTCATGTTCTTTTTGAATGGAGGAGCAGACTCGAGGGGCCAGATTTCTTATGTTCTTATGATTAAAGCTTGAGGAGTTAGTATACATAAGGTGATGTTCGAATGAGTAATTGAGAAAATGCTGCAGTGCATAAGACACCTATCTTTTAGCTGAACTGGTAGATCGTCTTGAGGGCAATGAGCAGAACTTGTAGTCTCCAACATCCCACTCTCTTTCTGTGTGAGCTCCTCCTCCCTTACATGCACCAGCTGGGGAAGTTGAAGTTGGGTTGTTGCCAATTCCACTCAACTTCAGGGAGACCATCTCTGGCATGTCTCCTTCCAATGGTTGGTGTTCAACTAGCATGGCAAGAAAATTAAGGAGGGTTTGTTCTTTGCCTTTTGTCCAGGGCCAGCAGGTCAGCTGCTGCATCTTTAAGGAGGTGGGGCATGTATGCAAGAACTGCCCACCTTTCCAAGGTCATTAAAGGCACTCATAAGTTTAATTAAATGACTGTTTCAGGAACCATGAATCATGGTGCATTAAAGATTTGGACATACAGTATTGTTGTCATGGTGCTAATTGTGGAAGAGACAGAAGTTCTTCAGAATTGGGACTAGGATTCCTCCCTCAATCACCAATTATAAATTATATTAATGAGTGACTCATCTTGTTGCTGCCTGTAATATCTTGCTGTAGCTATAATGTTACTATGCTTTCTGGGGGCATGATGAGGGCTCCATCTTCTGTGTAGTTTCATGTTTTTTCTTTATCTGCACTTAGATTGCTGGAGGGAGTCCAGAGAGTGCTAAGATTGAAACTTGTGATGCAGCGTCTTTCTTTCATTGATGTGCATGCCATATGAAAGGAAGGAAAAATGATATTTAGTAAATCTACTTCTCATATTGGTGAGCAATATTTAATCAATACAAGGTAAGGGGCCTAAACTGTAAGGACCAGTGACAAGAAATGTAAAAATTTAAAGAGGAGGCTTACTCTGCATGTTAAAAGATGATAAAGCAGGTTTTTGTTTAATTCATTCATGGGATGTGTGTGTTGCTGGCTGGCTAGCATTTATTCCCCAAGTCTAGTTACAGTTGAGGAAGGTGGTGGTGAGGTGCTTTCTTGAACCACTGTAGTCCATTTGTAGGTAGCCTCATGATGTCATGAGGGAAGGAGTTACAGGATCTTTATTCACTGAAGGAACAGCAATATATTTCCAAGTCAGGATGGTGTGCAGCTTGGAGAGGATCTAGCCAATGGTGGTGTTCTCATGTAACTACTGCTCTAACATGGATAATTACTTGAGGATCATGACCATCATGAACTCCTTTGTGAGTACAGTTTAATATACATCTTGACTGATATTCTCCATTTGGATGTTAGTCGCTGTCCCAGAACTCTGACAGAGTTTTTATGTCTTGTGGCAGACAAACCAGAAATGTTATCCTGGAAATGACAACGGCTGTTGTCGAGTGCATATACTCCAAATAAAACTCCACACTATATGAAAATAAATTTAAAAGGTTCAGAAGTGTATAGTCTTGTTAGAAGTAATAAAAAAATTCTGCTGGATAGCTGTTTCTCAGCTGAGACAGGTAGCTGAAATCAAATCAGAAAGTGCTAGAGAAACTCAGCAGGTCTGGCGGCATCTATGGAGAGAGAAATAATGTTTCAAAACTGATATGTCTAAGCTTCAGAACTGAATGGGCCTTCCTTTAGCCCTCTTCACTTACAAAGAAGAGTCATCTTGAACTTGGGACATTAACTTTGTTTCTCTCGCTACAGATGCTGCCAGACCTCTGACTTTCTCCAGCATTTTCTGTTTTTTATTTCAGATTTCCAGTATCCACAGTAAAGAACAAAGAACAGTACAGCACAGGAACAAGCTCTTTGGCCTAACAAGATTGCACGGACATATGATGCCTTTCTAAACCGAAAAAACTTGTGCCTCTAAGTGGTTCACATCCTTCTATTCCCTGCCTAATCATATATCTGTTAAGATGCCTTTTAAATGTTGCTGTTATATCCACTTTGCATCTATTTCAAATAATAAGCTGAATGGTGTCCTTTTATGCCATAAATATTTCCGTGCTTCTGTGCAGCAAATTTAGTCAGAAGTGAAGTAAGTCTAAAATTGGAATATTCAAATGGAACCAGGTACTTACTTACTTACTTACTTATGCATGCTTTGGAGCAGGGTTATCTTTGTTCCCTTAAAAATTTAAAGTTTTCGTAACTAGTCTTGGAAACTTTTTTGCTGTGAATTACTCATCATTTTTCAGCTACTTGTAGTTTCGGTGGTTAATCTCACCTGCTTTTTCATCTACTGTATTTTTAACATAAAGACATTTCTCTGAAATAAACCTTAGGTTATACAGCCTTTGATACTATTTCTATATATTTTTTATTACTCCTAGTAAAGAGAGAAACATAAACATTAAGAATTGGATTCTGTTCAAACTTTCTAGTCAACTATATTAAAAATAGTAATGTGTAAGTTTTGGGTTGCAGATGTTACCTTCTTAATTAGTGTTCTCTCCACAAGATTACAAAAATACTTTCAGACATAGTCAGAAGAAGATATACAACCAAGCATTAAATAGCACAAACATGCATACAGCATGCCCAATGTGTCAAAGTCGCAAATGAAATCCAATGAGTGTGACAAAGGTAAACTTTCCCTCATTTTCCCCCTTTTGTTGGCCTGGCTGAAGCCTTTGACAGAGTTGATCACTCCATCCCCCTCAAATGCAACTGGCATCCATTTGGGTGGGACAGCACTCATTGGTGTCTTTTCATGTATCTGTTTGTAGTTGGGGAATAATCTGCAATCTTCCCACTGCACCATTAAATCTGATGACCCACCAGAATCTGTCTCCTATTTCTGATCTGCGTGATACCATTCAGTAACAGCAACTGAGAACACAATTTCCACATATGTGCTGGTGACACCCAGCTTGATATTCTCCATTCTCTGTCTCAATCCTTCTCTTGTCCCTAAAGTGTCAGTGTGATTGTCAGTTTCCCCCAGGTAAATATCAGGAAGGTGGAAACTATTGTCTTCTGTCCCTTCCTGCAAAAAATTATATTCCCTTGCTATTGACTCCATCCATCCACTCCCAAAAAGTCAGTTTCCTTGCTATTGAGTCAACTCCTCTCCCTGATGACTGTATGAGGCTGAATGAGACTGTTCACAACCTTGGTGACATATTTGATGGAGATGAGCTACTGACCACCTGCTTTACAATCACTAAAAGACTGTTTTCACTTTGGGGACATCACCTAACTCCACCACTCCCTCAGCTCATCTAGTGAAACACCGTTTCATACATGCCTTTTGTTACTGTTAGACTTGACTATTCAAAACTCCTGACTGTCTTCCACTGTCCTTAAACTTTAGGCGATCTAAAACTTGAGTTTGTTCTGAATAGCAGCAAGTCCAGTTCATCCGTCACCCTGGACTTGATCAGTGTTGACTCCCAAATAAAC